AAAMYTYYTTWWWWTMMAWKKTTTTTKKYMAAWTTTYCYTTKATTTCACCAACACCTTTGTTGTTGCCATAGAGATGCCTCTCGATAGTGCCACATATAGTTGCCCATGCGAAAAAACGTTTTGAGGAAGATAAACTCCTACGTTTGGTATTGTCTGTCCTTGAGCCTTATTAATAGTCATGGCAAAGCATAGTCGTATCGGAAATTGCTTTCTCTTGAATTTGAACGGATATCCTTCATCATTTGCAGGACTCATAGGTATGCGTGGAAGGAAAACTTGTTTGCCAGCATTCTGTCCAGTAGTGATTTCTGCATAAATGATGTTTTTGCGAAATTCACGACAAACCATTCGTGTTCCATTACATAGACCGTTAGCTGGGTCTAAATTCCTTAACAATATAACTGGACAATTTGCTTTCAACATCAACTTGTGCGGAGGAATACCATTAGGCAGTAATGAGTTGAGGAATTCTTCTTGATAATAATTATGTGTGTCGTCAATTGCCTCATCAAAACTCATGAATTCAAAAAATTTTCCTGGAAATAGTTGAATCATTTTCTCATTAATCTGATCAACATACTCATTTGTAGTTGATAGAATTACCCGATTTGTCATGTATTCTGATGAAGTTGCATTTTGTTCAAGATCAGGATAAACAACATTGAGTAACTTCATAATTGCACCTTCATCATTTTCACCTGTAATTGTAATATCATCTGTGAGGCAAATATAATCATCTTCTACTGATGGTTCAGTTCCATTCCCGATTTTTAATAAATATTCTGCAAATTGACTGTCACTATGAGCTCTCATGTTTTTGGTCAGTTGCAATTTTTCCATTTGCTTCCAAAGATATGATTTTACCAAACTTTCATTAATCGTTTGTTGTCTCGTTGCTCGTGGGACAACTGGTAACACTTGTCGAAAATCTCCTCCAAATACAACAATCTTTCCACCAAATGGTTCTGTAGAATCCATTATGTCTCTAAAGGTTCTGTCGACTGCTTCTATTGTGGTTTTTTTTGCCATTGGTGCCTCATCCCAAATAACTTTGCTTGCCTAATTAATTCTGCTCTGTTACTCTGCTTAGAAATACTGCATAGATGATTCAATTGCTTGTAATGGTATATTAAATCTAGAATGAGTCGTTCGTCCTCCTGGCATAATTGAAGCAGCGACACCTGATGTTGCTGTTGCAATGGCTATCATTCCTCTTGATCTTATAGTAGCTAGCAATGCACGATACAAAAATGTTTTTCCTGTGCCTCCAGGCCCATCTATAAAAAACACACCACTTTTATTATTCATAATTCTCTGAACAATAATATCATATGCTAACTTTTGGTCTTCATTCAACTTTGATGAAGCTTGAATATCTTCGTCCGAGACTATAATTGATCTTTCATCCAATATATCTTTCGTATTACAATCATTTGCAAATATTTGCATGGGTTTGATTATTGGCAAATCATACATCGTGATTTGTTTGCCCATTGACTCGAGGAATACTTTTATATCTCGCAAAGAACATTGTATATGATATTCCAAATTCGGTTGCTCGTCTTTTCTGTAATCTTCTGATAATACATGAGAATAATCTTCCCACAATTTCCTCACGTCAATAGGCTCGCAATACATTAATAATGTTGCAAAAAGTCTTCGAAAAGCATTAGGCATCTCAAATGATACAGCTTCATCCAAACATTCTACTACACTTTGGTCAGAATCTAAGAGACCAATTTCCCGTGCTGCTTCTTTAAATGATGATAATCTTTTTCCATTAACAGTTAGCAAATACTCGAAAGATGTCGGCCCTCTAACATGGTTTAGTAACAATCGCAGGTAATATATTTCTCCTTCTCTTGGATTTGCTCCTACAATGCGTGATACAACTACTCCTTTTTTTCTTTCCTTCCATATCCGTAGTTGTTTACCCCATACATAATGTTGAGGAAACTCTTTGTATAGAAACTTTCTGGCAGTTTCATACTTTTGACACATATAAAAGTATTCTGTTAGCATTGTCTTCGAGATATGATCCCAATGAATTAGTTTCTTCAAATTTTGATTTTCCCAATAAGAAACACATTGCATATTAGGGAGGTGAAGCTGTAAGTTTATCGCCGGAGGAGATATTTCATTCAGTCTAAAATCATATATTCTTCATAAGGCTTCTCGAGCTGATACCCATCTTGCATCTTGATAATCTCTTATTTCATCAATAATTTTATTATCACTATCATGTGATACATAAACTGCTACTCGATCATGTCCTTTGTAAATATATTTGTACAAGTATTTAACTGCTTTTAGGCCAGAACATATTTCTACATTGATGTGGCAGTTGTATCTCAAAAGTAGATATGGATTATAAGGGACAACCAATCGATTATCAAAAGTCTTCTTTCTTACTGTTACCTTCAAAATTTTTAAAAGTGTAATACAATTAGGAAAAGCTAATACTGTTAGACACTAAAGGTAGCAACCTAATCCCTTTTATTTAGTATGTTATAAACAATTTAAAATAATTAGCTAAATAAACTATTATACTATTAAATATTAAATGTAGCAACCTAATCACTGTGATTTAGTATATCATAAACAATAAAAATAAATCAATAAATCAATAAGTAACTTATATTACTATAAATTATAAATACCTGTTTTCCGTCGTCTCTCCTCTTATATATTGGGTATGCATTTTTTCCCTGAATTGTCTTCGATGTAAATTGCCTTGGATAACGAAATTTACATTTTCCATTGATCATGCACGAACATTTTTTGTTATCATCTCGGCATGGGCCATGAAGCATGTGTTTCACAACAACATTGTGAAGGGCAGAATTTGTTTGGCTATCTGGAATTTCTGCACTAACATAGCTGTCATACAGGTCAGCATTTGTGATTTTGAAATCTTTTTTCAATATAATCAACATATGCATGTGTGGGAGACCACGTTTTTGAAATTCAATAACATATACAAAAGCTGCAACTTTTCCAAATATTTCTTTCTGCACAATTTGATTTTTAAGGTCCATCAATTTTCCTCTGAAAACTCTTGAA